ACTCTCCTCTGTTTTTGTCCTACAGCTTTTGGCTGCAACTTCCTCAGCATGTTAAAATATCAAAATGTCTCTCCAGCTTTAAAAATGGACTCCGATCGTATAAAGTAGTACGATAGTACGATAGGATCTCCTTGCTGAATTCTTGTCTATCCTTCTTTCTTCTCTTTTTCTTTATTCCTTTCTTTTCTTTTCTTGCCGTGGTTGGCTATCACCCATCTCTCGCATTTTGCGTGCCAATTGGTCATGGACCACGAGTTAAGTGAAATAAATATAAAATATATAAAAACCAACAACAACGGTTATTATGGGTTCTGCAGAGTGACACATGTGGTCAGCGGACCTACAAACATTGTTGTTTGTCGAACTAAGATCGAAATTGGTGAGGGAGGTGCTTTGGCACCCAAAGCTAAGCACCCCCGCCCCGCCTACGCCGCCACTCTCGAGACCACGTATAACGTGAGGTTTTCGATCTTTGCTTTTGCTGTAGCTCTATAAATTGCTGTATTTTGACATTTTTCATTATTCCCTGTACTTACCCATGATGAGAAGGGAGCGAAAACGTTCGGTTACCAAATTGGCTTCCTTGACTGTGTGGATTGCGTCGGTGCTGTCACCTTTTCTTTCGAAATAATAATAATAAAAATAATTTGAAACTCGTGTATTGAGCCAATAATAAATGTAGAAAGGAAAAGGACCTATGGAAACGAGTTAAGAGTAACTCTCCATCACTGTAACCAGATACTATATACAGTCAGAAATTGCAACAACTAGGCACAAAACTGACAGAGTACTGAGACATTCGACGTCCTGGCACCTAGCTTCAACACATCTCCGTAGCGCTAACCGACAGCCTTCCAACTTGGAAGGTTCAAGGTTATGGGAAGACCAAAGAGGGGAAGGCAAGCGCAACGAAAACGAGCACAAGCTACAGTCCCAACGGAACAAAGAATGTCGATTGTCACTGGACGATGGCGAGACCAGTAGCCGATTTGACAAAGCGGTCTAACTACAATTCGAAGCAGCAAAGGAGCACATCACCCAACTTGGGTGGGTCAAAAATATCAAAGAAACGTTAAAAGGGGGAAGCTTTGCGAGAACGAATTGTACAAGCCGAAATCTAAACTCCTACGGTACTCCTCATGCATGACATTGTGATGGACTAGTTGACTACAAAACAAGTTGTTTCACACGACGTACGTTTCGCCGTATGGTTCGTGACGGCTAATCAGGTGTGCAATTTGAAACTCGGGTATTGAGCCAATAATAAATGTAGAAAGGAAAAGGACCTATGGAAACGAGTTAAGAGTAACTCTCCATCACTGTAACCAGATACTATATACAGTCAGAAATTGCAACAACTAGGCACAAAACTGACAGAGTACTGAAACATTCGACGTCCTGGCACCTAGCTTCAACACATCTCCGTAGTTTGGTCTTCCCATAACCTTGAACCTTCCAAGTTGGAAGGCTGTCGGTTAGCGCTACGGAGATGTGTTGAATAGGTGCCAGGACGTCGAATGTCTCAGTACTCTGTCAGTTTTGTGCCTAGTTGTTGCAATTTCTGACTGTATAATTATAGTATCTGGTTACAGTGATGGAGAGTTACTCTTAACTCGTTTCCATAGGTCCTTTTCCTTTCTACAATAAAAATAATAACTGTAGAAAAGAAAAAAGACAAATGGAAACGTTAGTTAGTTAAGAGTAACTCTCCACCACTTTAACTAGATACTATTTTTCTTTTCTACATTTATTATTGGCTCAATACCCGAGTTTCGAATAATAATAACATGAAACTTACCAGAAAAAGTACCAAATTCTGCCAATTTTTCTGCCGGCATTATCCGCATATGCCTACTTACAAAGACGCTCCGTTTCTAGCGCGATAAACTCCTCGTGAACACCAGATAACAGTATGTGCATGTACATGTAATTCAAAAATTATTTTTAGTGAAGAAATGTCATTCTCAACTGGGGAGTTTCAAACATCAACATAAAGTGACCAGATAGAGGATGCTGAGAGGTATGACGTCATGAGAAATGTGCTCAAGTCACAACCACCGCCCAAGCCAAGGCTCAAGGCCACCTTAGCCTCCACTACAGCCAGGGAAGCACAGCCATCCCTAGGAGGCGGCCAAACTCGCTGAGCCCTTCGCAGGCATCCGAACGCAACAGAGCGAAACCCAGCCTGCAGCGAAGATGGGCCACCAGCATGCAGCACACCTTTTTCTGGTTGTCTGCTACTGGATTAGGTGATGCCTGTGGATGGTTTGACGTTCCGAATTAAGGTAGATCTTATTCTCGAGGGGACACTTTGACACAAGTTCACTACTCTTGTTGAGATACAGGTGCTTCTGTGTTGCTTGCCGTCATTCACACCTTTCTAAATCATGCTGTGTCAGATGCAATCTTTCACAACTGCTGTCATTTTACACTGTTTGCTTTGTGCCGGTAAATGTTAATGTTAGTATCCTATTGACTGGATACGAGGTCAATATAGGAAGTCGCACACAAGCATTCAGCGTGGAAGAGGTGGAGCCGCTCAAAATCCAGTGAGACACCGAAAGCAGCCTTTGTCCAGGCAGTTACCAATGCTGTGTCAACTCTGCAGCAAGCCCAACTTTCCTGGGAGGAACACCTAAAGCAGAAGCTTCGAACAGGCAACTTGCGGGACAAACAGTTGTGGAGCACCATTAAATCCGCCGCCAGGGAAGGAACGACACTCTGACATTTCTACGCTTGTTGATTCCAACCAGCATGAACATCTCACAGCCAGCTCCAAGGCTGAGTGCTTCGGTACCTACTTCTCGCAGAAGTGCAGTCTTGGTGGTGACGACTTGAGTCACACTGACATTCCGGACCATATTCCACGGAAGCAGGGCCAATTTTAAATTTGAGTGTAATGCCACTTTTGTGGACATGTAGTGTTATAATGCTAGCATAATGCTCGTTGCAAATCGCACACTTTAATGCTGCTTATAATGCTAGCATTTTCCGCCCAGGCCTAGCTACTACTACTAGCATGCAAAATGCAATTAGAATGTACCAGTACTGTGAAAGACTGCTTCCCTCTCGCTGTCGGCATCCACCAAGCCCTTTCAAACAGCTCGCTTGTGCTTTATTGCACCTTTCTCACTCACTTTGGACTTTCTGGCTGAGTAGTACAACCAATGTACATGTACATGTATGTAGTTGCTGCTGTCTATGGTATCCAGTCTCCACTCAACTTTATTGCATTTCTGGCGAATGTTTCAAACCTTATAATTATACATGTGCACTGCATGCACTGCACATGAAACATTTTTAGATTTCACATGAGAACAGTGTTTTCTCCTGACAAAATGGTCTTTCAGAATATGATTAATCACTGCCCTCATCATACTAATTTGAGTGGTATTTTAGTTACGGTCAGTGGCCGGAAGTTCCAACTAATTTGCACAGGAGGGAGTGGGTCATGATTTAGGCTGCGTTTACACGACAACCATTGAAAACGATTTACAATAACGAACATGATTGTACATGACAATAGTACAAACCAGTGACCAGGAGAGTGCACAGTAAAACCTGTAACTAAAGACCACCGTGACTAGCGACCAGCCTGCTACTACCAACCATTTGGCCAGGCACGGACAGTCTCACATTCAAAATGCACTGTGACTAGCGACTACCTGCTGAACGCGACCAGCGCCCGCCTGTTCTTGTCCCAAAGACGATTTTGACCCGTAACTAGCGACCGCGATGTAGGAATTCAAACGTTGCTAAAAGCTCCTTCTTGATATTTTGATGATTTTCCATGGTCCTGACAGGAATCTTTCGGTACTACACCTCAACAAATGAACGGAGGCCATTTTGACTGTGGAGTTCGTTGGACTCTACTACTCTTGTCAGAATTTCAAGCGCTGTCAAGAATAAACATGATAGGAAACGTCTTGGAGAGCGCATCGAAGGCGCTCTCTGCTCGATGTTACTACTCTGAGAAGAAACGAAGACTGAGCGGCTCTGTCACCCCAGTCATACAAACGAATCGACGATGGCGTCAAGGAATCCAGAAACAAAGCAGCACCGCATGGTCCTGATGCTGAAGGATCGTGTTCAAACAATCGAGACGTCACAACAAGGATAGTCGGTACGATTGATCGCATGAACAAATTTGAAGCCCAGCGCAAAACGAAACTTCCACAGGGAACGTTTGACTCCTGGCTTCAGAAGTAGCAGCTGAATTTGACGTCAAAATTAATCTCTCTCTCTTTTTGTTTCTCTCCATCTCTCTGTCTTTCTATCCAAGTGCTGTTTGACCTGAAATAAGAATGGTATTGCGCAACTCCTCGGGAATTGTATTAGCTGCATTTTTGATATAAGTATCATACAATGGGATCCATATATGGTCGCACGGTGCAAACCTCTAACTAAAGACCACCTGCTATTAAAGACCGCTTTTGCTGGCACCAAGGGGTGGTCGGTAGTCACAGGTTCTACTGTACGTACAAATCATTCGATAGAGAGGAATTATGGAGAAGTCCAGAAGGAAGAACTCAAACCAACATACCGGTATCAAGTGAAAAAAGGGAAGAAAATGTATTCAAGCGGAGTAAACAGAAGGAATACATGTATGAAGCAAAACCACTGGGGCCGTCAGATTGATTACCTGGACCGAGCCAGCCGGGAAAAAAACCCTCGCGCCGACGGACGCAGTGATGAGGGTAAAAAACCGGGTGTATAACCCCAGTGGCAATACGTTGTATTTGGTAATGGAAGCGTGGCACAATGACTACATTGTATGTACATCTGCAGATTTGTACAAGGCAAAATCAAGATGCACCAAAATGACGGTTGGAAGGTCAAGGACACTCGTCACATTCCAAAAACGGACATCGAAACTACTAGTGAGTAACTTAATAACCCAAGAAAAGGATCAACGATGCTGAACAGGAAATGAAAAGGCTGGCATGCATTGGCAGATTACAGAGGTGATGCCTGTAGCAAAACGAGGAAGAACTAGAAAAAATAATATTAATATACATGTAGTAAGATGAAGAGAATTAAGCAAACAGTCTGCCTGTCCAGTGCCAACGTCAGTGACTCCTATTTACATCGCATACGTTTCACAGTCCTGTGAATAGTACAACATCATTGTAACGAGAAGGAAAGACGACACTCTTTCCGCTTCTGCAGCATCCTTCTCCTCGCGTAGCTCTTATCCAAGCACCAGATTGAATGCCGCAGCTCCTCAACTGAATATACAAGCAGGTCGACAGGATGAAAACAGAAACAGAAATTATTTCAAACTTAGAAGTTGCGACTTCGGCGGTATTAGTTATGAAGTTGATTATTTCAACTAGGAACACACGCTTCTTGCCCAACTTGACACTTCTAAGTTCGTAATGTTGTCCCTCACGCGTACGTGCGACTAGTTGTTGGAGGTGACAGCGTTTTGAATAGCTATACTGGCTCTCAACGTCTGTTTAGCACAACTCCATGAGCGACTCTGACTCACGCTGCAACTCGGGTTTCACGAGGTGTTTGTCGCGCTGGAAACAAAGCGTCTCTGTAAGTTTGTATCCCTGGTGATGGTTTGGCCTGGAGAGCAGTATATAAGTGGTGCTTTTCAGGCACAATCTTCCTCAGCCTGCTCAAGCTCAACTGATGAGGGGTGAATTCCCCGGAACACTGTGTATTGAGCAGGGAGTGGTCCTTTCTTGCAGGTTTGCCGAGTGGAAGGTACGACGTGCTCCTCGTGTGCTCCGGATGGCAGTCGTGAGTCAGTCAAGTGTCAAGTTGGGCAAGAAGCGTGTGTTCCTAGTTGGAACAATCAACTTCATAGGAATTATTTCATAATTATCATCAAAAAGTTCCCTTCGGGAACGGATACGATAATTTACTTTTTTACTTTAATCAAAAATAATTATCGACCCCTCTCTGGAGATCGCAGTAATGGTGTGTTGGTTGATGTTAGAACCCTCTCTGTAGTATTTGTTTTATATTATAATCCCCCCCCCCCCTTCCCCCTCCAATCCATCCGCCAAAGTGCGAAGTCCGTCCAGCTATGCTCAGTTGGTCTGTAGGCTGGACTTAGTGTGGTGTACTATCAGTTGTCTCTGCTCGCTCGCTTGTGCTTTCTTTCCTTCGCCACTCAATTGATTTGTTTGTGTTTCACATATACATGTACATAATGTGTTGACAGTTTGACAGCAGCATGAAACAAGATGAAGGACACCGTGTTCGGAAACAGTGACCTTTCTGTAACCATCCACACGGTTGGTAGAGCTTCGGTCTGTTGAGACCATCTGAACCGTATGGGTCCTGGACCCGGTTCCGACCCTCTTTATTCTAGAGGTCAAACTATCAACATGTAATTTTTGGACAAACAAGGGTTTTCTAAGAGGGACTGACATAATAAGAACGCGCGATTAATACGTGACTGACTGAACCTCAATTTTTGAAAGAACGTTCTTTACTTGTACATGTATCTATACTTATAAAGAAGAGGCACCTGTGACGTGTGTTTGTCTGTGTGTTACGCAGAAGCGCTGCGGAGCAGCGCTGCCCTGAGCACGCGAAGCGTGCGAACAGTGTAGCTAGCGGCCGCAGAAGCAGTGAGCACGCGAAGCGTGCGAATCGTGTAGCTAGCGGAAGCAGCCACAGAAGCACTGAGCACGCGAAGCGTGCGAATCGTGTAGCCACCACCACGTGCTGAGCACGCGAAGGGTGCGAACAGTGTAGCTAGCAGACACGATCAGTGCAGTGCGAGTAGCAGTAGCAGCCGCGCGCAGAAGCACTGAGCACGCGAAGCGTGCGAATCGTGTAGCCACCTACCCTAGCCCATAGCCCATAGGTAGCACTAGCAGCCGCACAAGCGCTGCGGACCACGTGAACCGTTCTCTGCAAATAGAAACATCTGCAAAAAAGGATACAAAAGATCTGCACTGACTGCACTCTGCATCTGATCTGCAGTGAAGAGCGCATCGTGCAGCTACCTTTTCCACGGACCACGTGAACCGTTCTCTGCAAAAAGAAAGATCTCCAAAAAAATGATACAAAAGATCTACAGCTTCCTTTTCCACGTGAACCGTTCTCTGCAAATACAACAAACTTGAAGACTTGACCTAGGCGACGCTTTGCACTTTTTCATGTTTTGAGCCGCTTCATCCGCCACCAGGTGATGGACAACCCTGACCAGCCTCCCGAAGGCGTAACAGACGTCCCTCCTTCTCCTTCCAACGATGAAGAACCTCCCTCACCAGGACTTCAGCGGTCTGGGAAAAGACGTCGCCGGTCCTCATCAATAACGTCGTCCGACGATGAAGAGGCCATTGCCCGCAGACGCGAGCAAGAAAGTGACAGCGAGTGACTTCTACGCGTACAAACTGATGGTCCGCAATGACTCCTTCAACACAATCCTCAGAGGTGCTCAGTTATTCCACCAGTACATTGTTGACATGTATGTGAAGATCGAATCTGAACGTCTATCCTTCATTCGCTTCAATCAGGCCAGTCTCCGAGCAGATAACTACGTTCATTTACGTGACGCCATCAGCAATGACGGAAATCCTGCAAACGTCGGTCGGCAAGTCATTTTGCCCGCAACTTTCACTGGCGGCCCACGATACATGAAAGAAAAGACACAAGATGCAATGACGTATGTTCGAGAGCGCGGCAGGCCACAGCTTTTCATTACCGCCACATGCAATCCTAAGTGGCCCGAGATAGCTGCAGAGCTTTTTGACGCCCAGTCACCGCATGACAGAAACGACCTCATCGCACGTGTCTTCCGTTTGAAATCAAAGTTGTTCATGGATGTCCTGACAAAAGGCGAATTGTTCGGCCCGAGCACTTGCAACATGCACACGATAGAGTGGCAAAAGAGAGGCCTGCCGCATATGCATGCACTACTGTGGCTCCAGCATTCAATTCCATCTGCTGATGTGGATGATGTTGTTCGTGCGGAAATTCCCCTCGGCGGAGGATGACCCTGTCCTCCATGACTTGGTCAAAAAGCATATGATCCATGGACTTTGCGGTGCACTAAACACAAGCGCGCCATGCATGAAAGATGGGAAGTGCAGCAAAGGGTACCCCAAACCAATGGGGAAACACACCCAGACGGACAGGGATGGATACCCTCTTTACCGCAGGCGCTCCCGGGAAGATGGCGGGTCATTCACGGTGTTGAAAATTAGAAACGAAGAAGTCGAAGTCGACAACAGATGGGTTGTGCATTACAACCCAGTCCTCCTTCGATTGTTCAGTGCGCACATCAACAGCCTACCAGCGACCATTCTACCAGCACGGCCGCAACCCAGCCAGCTCCAATTATTCAAAGAAAAATGCAACAAGTATCTGCTGCACCTGAACTGGCAAGCAGCCACCGACGCCCTATGAAACCAGTGCCTCACTAGCATCCTCCCCCCCCCCCCTTACCACAATGTGACGTTATCTTTCACTCTGCTTCTCTCACGACCATCTACCCATTGTCCTTGTTTCTCACTATTATTCATTTCCCCTCTTTCTCCTCTCTACATGGTTTTACTGCATTATGGCGCGCTTTGTCTGCGTAGACGCCGAGACCTTTGAGGTCGGCAGAGCAGCCTGGCCCCGCCACCACTTCTCGCACATATTCGGGAATATAGTGGACTTTCGTATAAAAATAAATAAATAAAAAAAAATCAATGTGGAGGTGTGCAACTCTGTAACGGCCATCAAGTACATCACAAAGTACATCAACAAAGGTTCGGATCAGGCAGTCTTCGGTGTCCAGAATGAGAACGATGAGGTCAGCAGGTACCAGACAGGTCGGTATGTTTCCAGTAGCGAGGCAGTCTGGCGCATTTTTGTCTTCCCGATTCATGGCAGGTATCCAACAGTCACCCACCTTGCGGTTCACTTGGAGAATGGCCAGCGAGTCTACTTCACAGAAGAGACCGCCCATGCTGTAAGTGAGAGTCCGCCAGAGACTACTCTCACTGCTTTCTTTAAGCTTTGTGCCACTGATGCCTTCGCGAGAACTCTTCTGTACAACAGCGTGCCTTCCTACTTCGTGTGGGATGCCCAACGGAAGAAATTCAAGAGGCGCAAAGTCGGCACTCCTCTCCCAGGCTACGAGGGGGTCAGGAAAATAAGTGATGCTCTCGGCCGAGTGTACGCTGTGCACCCAAGGCAGGCAGAGTGCTATTACTTGCGGCTCCTTCTGCACACTGTTCACGGGCCGACTTCGTTCGATGATGTCAGGACAGTAGCTGGCCGGGTGCTGCTAGTATCTATACAAAAGAGAATGACCAAGGAACTTCAAGTTACGCTATACTGTCCACTAACACCACCAGTTACTAAACAATCAGCTCATGCGATAACATTGCACGACACTGACCGACGGTACTGACGTTCTACAACCAACTGGCTAACAGCTCTAGCACATCTTGGATGCGCACTCCAACAGCCTTCCAACTTGGAAGGTTCTAAGTTATAGAAATAACATAAGGAGGGAAAGTGAGCGCAACCAAGATAAGCACGAGCTGAAAGTCTCAGCTGTGAAGGACGTTGGCGGATGTTCATGCATGTTATTTCTATAACTTAGAACCTTCCAAGTTGGAAGGCTGTTGGAGTGCGCATCCAAGATGTGCTAGAGCTGTTAGCCAGTTAGTTGTAGAACGTCAGTCCCATCGGTCATTGTCGTGCAATGTTATCGCATGAGTTGATAGTTTAGTAACTGGTGGTGTTAGTGGACAGTATAGCGTAACTTGTAGTTCCTTGGTCTTTCTCTTTTGTATAAATTAAACCTTGCCTCTCCATCTGGCTCCATACTTGTATATCTATTTACTACATAAAAAAATTCTCTCCATACAGTTTTATAAAAATGTCTACCCATCCTCCTCCTAGGATTCGCAGGAAACTGTCGGTCCAGTCTCAAAGAGGATTGCAACATTGGCGTTAATCAACGGTCAATCTTCAAAACTCATTGGCCAGATTGGAGGTTCTCACCCAATGCAAGGCTAGTAAGGTGACAACGAAGTATCTCAACAGAACTAGTCCAAATGACTCTGAGTGAGTAAAAGCTTCAATGGTACGCGCCCACTGGACGCTTCTACGAGAGCATACAAAGAAACTCCAGCCTAAAATACTGGTCCAGAAAACGAAAGTAGAAGAAGCTGCGAAAACCTGCAGTACGCTTCAGGAAAACAGTTCAATATTCACAGATGGATGGAAGTGGATCTAAGCATACGGTGTATCTGCTTCCCAAAACGCCACAGCACTGCACACATGGGAATTTAAGAAACTACTTCCTTCACCGACCAACGCTACAAACACGCCTTCAAACAAGCAGAATGACGCTACAAACACTCCTTCAAACAAGCAGAATATCTTCAACCTTTTCTCTCACAACCTCTCGACGAACCAAAATGACCTGTTGCAACTGGGCTTGGATTTCGCTCTTCCACCCAAAAAGGTTCAAAGGAAGAAGTAATCAGAAGAACGGAGATGTGGGCCAACACACTTCCAGAGGATCGCCGTGGCCTGGCAATAGCCACACGCAAGAAGGTACAAGAAGCCCTTGACAACGCCATTACACCTTGTTTCATGCTGTCAATCTAACAATAAAGAAAGGCCTGGTTTTAAACCCTGACAAGACGCAGGTCTTAGCCATTGAGGCATCACGCCGTAGTACCCTGGAACTCAACGTTAACTGCAACGGGACGCCTCTCACCCAGACCACCACTGCTCGCTTTCTGGGCCTACAGATCGATTCCTGTCTTCGGGGGACGCGCAGGTCTCCAGCATAGTACGTAAAACTTCCCAGAAGCTAACCACCCTGAGAACCATCCACCCGTCGCTATCTGAACGCCAGTCGCTCCTCTTCTATTCTGCCCTTATACTTCCTGACATGCTTTATGGATCAAACGCGTTCTTCTCTGCCCTCACGGCTCAGCAGCGGCACCAGCTCACTGTCCTCGACAAGCGATGTGTTCGCTGCGTAGCCAATCTGCCCTTCCCGTCCCATACCACTCCTATATACACTCGCCTTTCCCTGATCCCTGTAATTGAACGTGCCACATGCAAACTCCGTTTCCTTATGCACCGTGTCCACACCAGCAGCATCAGCCCTCTTCTGAAAGATAGAGTACCCCTCCAACCTCCCAGTATCACCCGTGGCAATGACAATTGCAAATACGTTGTTCCGCTAACTCGGCGAACATCTGGCGACAGCCGACCATTGGTTTCCGCCGTGAAGCTTTGGAACACCCTGCCACAGGAACTCACGTCCGCTCGTCGTCCAACCCCGTTTAAAAGATTGCTGAAAGTGTTTTTCTACGGTTAATATGGCCGAATAGCACCTCCCTCTGCCATAGGTCCTCATCTTCCTATTTCTCCCTGATTCTTACTTCGTTCGAACTTGACTTGTAATTACCGGTGCAAATACTTCCTTTTGACTGTTTTCTCATTTTCGCAAGTGAAGCTTTATCGAGCCACACTTATTATTCTATCGCCATCATAATATTGGGCATCAATGCCCATGGCGATGTAAAATAAAACTTCAAACAAACAAACAACTATAGCAAAGTTTATCTAACACTAGTTTTGAACTAGCTATCGCGTTAAAAATAATACATGATTGTACATGTACAGCAACACCTGTGACTAACGACCACCCCTTGGGGCTAGAGGAAGTGGTCTTTAGTGGCAGGTGGTCCTTCATTAGAGGTTTTCTCCGCACAACCATGCATGAGTGTGAGACCGTCCGTGCCTGGCGAAGTGGTCTGTAGTAGCAGGCTGGTCGCTAGTCACGGTGGTCTGTAGTACCAGGCTGGTCGCTAGTCACGGTGGTCTGTAGCACGAGGCTGGTCGCTAGTCACGGTGGTCTTTAGTTACAGGTGTTACTGTGCATGTAGTGTACAGAGGGGTACTCTCATTTGTGTCTCCTGACTAGCCACATGCGGATAATGCCGGCAGACAGATTGGCAAACTTCGGTTCTTTTCTGGTAAGTTTCATGCATGTTTGGTATGTGGATAAAGAAATGGAGCAGAATTCGAGGAATTGGCCGCCATAAGGTTTGTTTGGTTCTGCCAATTTCACTGCTTTTCGAGCAGAATCTTCCACCTTTTCGAGCATTATCCGCACACCCCTACTCCTGATACATGTCATACTAATCTAGTGCAATACACGTACTGATATCCTTACGTTCCGGTGTCGCTGGATCGTCTCCGTCCCAAAACTCAAATGATCCTTGTCGCTCAGGGTTCATTACGCAAACAGCAGGACCACTGCGAGACAACACACGAAAACAAACAAACAAACAAACAGAACTAGTGGAATAACGTCACTGACCAACAAAAGGAAACAACATATTAAACAAATATATTACCATCAGGTGCTCACCATACTTGTACAGTAAAACGTGTAACTACAGACCACCGTGACTAGCGACCAGCCTGGTACTACAGACCACTTCGCCAGGCACGGATGATCTCACATTCATACCGTATTTCCGCAAATAAAAGGCCGTCCTCGTATACAACGCCTTCATCGTATACAAGGCCGGGGCAGGGGGCGATTGAAAAAATAAAAGACCGTCTCCGATTAGAAGACCGGACCTACTACATATGTATATGAGTCTTTGTTCTTGTGTTAAAAATAGAAGACCGTGCTTCAAACTGTGGGAAAAAATAGAAGACCGAGCTCAAACTGTGTAGAAGAAAATGGAAGAACGGGGGTAAAACTGTGTGGCGAGAAATAGAAGACCGGGGGTCAAACTGGGTTGAAAGAATAAAAGACCGTCCTCGAATACAAGACCGTCCTCGATTATAAGGCCGGGTTAGGACGAGGTTGAAAAAATAGTAGACCGGCCTACTATTTGTGGAAATACGGTATGTGGTTGTGCTGTGCAAATCTCTAAGGACCACCTGCCACTAAAGACCGCTTCCTTGGCCCCAAGGGGTGGTCGTTAGTAACAGGTTTTACTGTACATTTACATGTACAAAAAGAGCCAAAGGGATGTTACAAAATTACGAACTACAGTAAAACCTGTTACTAACGACCACCCCTTGGGGTCAAGGAAAGCGGTCTTTAGTGGCAGGTGGTCCTTAGTGAGAGGTTTGCACAGCACAACCACATTATTATGAATGTGAGATCATCCGTGCCTGGCGAAGTGGTCTTTACTACCAGGCTGGTCGCTAGTCACGGTGGTCTTTAGTTACAGGTTTTACTGTACATGCATGTGTAGAAGGTCACAAGAGAACGTTCTGGATTCAAACATAAGCAGGCAAGATTATTTCTACATTTTTGTTTGATCAACGAAGCCTCGAAGGCACATGTAATAGACCAATCCCGAAAAGATTGTCTGGGTTTGTGAAAGGGGGCACTCGTGCAAGCCAGAATGTGTGAAGTGCATCTGTAATGGGTAGCCGAGTGGTAGGCGCGGTGAAATCAACAAGAGTTACTTTTATTCTACATATACTTCTTTCAGGTACACACCTGAGATATTATTATTAGTGAAAGAAGAAGCGGCAAAATAACTGACTTTCTCCCCGGTACACACCTGGAGGTTGAATACAGGTCTGCTCTCGATATAACAACTCTCACTTGTACATAAACCTCGTAAGAACATAAAAAAATCAAATCCCGCGCCGAAACAGCATCACTCCCACACAAAATTTGTTCTACACAACATAATCCTACATAACATAAACCTCGACATAACACACGCGACGGCGGTCCCCGACGTGCGCACTCTCGATACAACATAAATTCACGTGCATGGTATGATCAAGCGGTAGCTGTAGCTAGGCAGTTTAGGCCAGTTTAGTCCTACATAACGTAAACCTCGGCATAACGCACCCTATACGCGCAGTCCCCGACGTGTACACTCTCGATACAACGTAGATTCACGTGCGCGGTACAATCAAGCTGTAGCCGTAGCTAGCCAGTTAAGTCCTACAGTATGTGCACATATTCTGCGGCATTGATGGTATCTGATGTCGATGGTGGTACAGTGTGTATATGTTTGCACGGTTGAACCCGCCTTGTAATACCCTTCATTTTGAGGTGCATCTTGTATTTCACCCACGGTTTTCTACATAACATAACTCTCGATATAACATAATGTTTGCGTGGTCCCAGAGATTACGTTATATGGAGAGTAGACCTGTAGCTCGTTATTATCAAAATCTCATCTTCATCAAAACAGAAATGCGCAGCCGCTTTTATGCAGCAGCTGCCGTACACTTACATGCGGAGATACACTAAATATACATCAGGCAAAGCTCCGTATTAGTTCCGTACTGCTTCCGTATTGGTCGGGCAGGGATACTACACATCGTTTTGTATTCAGTTTGTGTGTATCAGCTCATGGCGGAGGAGAGAGAGACTTTTGCTCGCCGAGCTGAAACTCAAGGATTTGATGGAGTCCTGCCAGCAGCCTGTCAAAGGACCTTCGGTACCTTAGGCAGACCCTGACGGAGTTTGGAGGCCAGCTAGCTCTCGGTGAGGAGAGAAACATTCGCGTGGCGATCGACTCTCCGTAAAAAATGCAAGCTACATAGCGCCGACATACTGCAACAGCTACGATTTCAGCTAACTTCTCGATCTGCTGCTTCACAAAGTTCAACTACATTTACAAGTCCTGACTGTTGTAGTCTGAAGCTGGAGTCTCATCGCCCACCTACAGGTAGCTTTTGGAGCTGATGGATTTCCCGACTTGGACTCCTTCCGCAAACTCTCGCAACATTACTACAGTGTATGCTGTGTTTCCGCACGCTCGTCTCGACATGTCATCTATACTGTATATGTACCATGTGTACCGGGTCGCGGAGGAGCTGGACGACCTCCGCTGACTCCAGGTTTCCGAAATACTGCCGTCGTCTTCGTTGATGTCGCTGGTGACATTCTCCCCTTGCAGGACGTGCGCATAGTTGTCATCCCGGGGATAAAGACTATGTTGTCTTTCGAAATAGTTCTTCATCACGCGCGAATGATTGATGTTTCTCATCATGAACTCGTTCCGACTGTGTGACACGGCGATGGTCTTTGGTGGGGCACTGGCTTGGCGAAAACGATATCTTCTTGTGCAATATAACATTGATCGGCTGCAGATGAGTACAGTCACTTCGTGGTTGATCCTATAGGAGGGCAGCGGCCAGGAAAGAGGCAGGACTCATCGAAAACGAAGCGCTCGCAACAAACAATAGCACTCGAAATATCTCGTAAGATTTAGGGCCTATCGCTTTGAGCCACAGCGCTCACAGCCTTGCCTACTTCATCAAAGTGAGCTCTACATGTTCGTTGATCTCTTCACACTACCCAGACGAACGAAACAAGGATTAAGTCTTAGCATTTCAACTCCAACAGCAGACCATTACCAGTGCGAGAGAGAAAACTACAAAGGGCTTTGCTTTTCTGTCGCATCGTCTCTTTTGCATGGAACTAACGAGAAAACCCGTGCACTTACCCTCGCATTCACACGCGAACTATCAAACACGTCCTGTGCCGCATGCTGATCAGGTAGTGCCATGTATGTGTTGTACAGTGTACTCTCAGGTGACATGCCCCCTTTCGAACCCAGACAATCTTTTCGGGATTGGTCTATTCCTACGTGAAGCGAGCCTATGCCTAGTATGAGGCATGGTTTCCCTTTTTGTGATTGTAACATTTTGATTACGCAAGAGGTGATGATTTGTTTTTTTTGCGATGAAACTCTGAGTTCCAAAAAACAAAACAGCCCTATATACTTCCTTTTGTGTACCTCTTGCGCACTACGCTCTGCCCATTCCTGGCATTTGAGCAATATTGCAGGAGGCCTGGTGGTGACAGTCACTTTTTCTTCAGACTTTTCCCGTTTGCGTCTTTCCCTCAAACCAGTGAACATCCTAAATGCTTTTTTCCAAAAGACCCTAGATCTCTGCTGACCTGACCTCGAGGGAAATACTGGCCAACGTATGACATACGTTTCACCTGTTCAGGTACATGTATGTACAACGAAATTGTGAAGCACTGGGCGAACACACAAACATGCAGACGCGCTCAAGCATAAAATACAAGTGCATCCGTCAAGTCTTGCTTGTGACAATTATACTCATTGTTACCCTATGCCTGTATTCTTCCTAATAGTCTTAGGCACTGGCTACGTCAATATTAGATTTAATAAAAAATATATTATACTCAATCTGCGGACAGCGTGCTGTTTCGTTCTTTGTGAACTCCTCAGCGCAGCACAGAGAAAATGAGGCCGAACCTGATAGCAATGAAAATAAAATGTATTATTATTATATAACTTACCTGAGTATCGTATTGGTGTATCGGTGGCTATTCGCACGTTGAGAACTGACACCCAGTCTCTCCAACTCCACATCTTGTTCCGCAGAACGTCGCCTTATTCCATGACAGCAACCCATGTTACCGGTATCTGTTCCTTCTTAGAATATTGATTCCACTGTTCAGCTGTGCTCATAAAGATCAACTAACTGGTCACCCATGGGTGCTACTGATAATATACTGAGCTAGATTAGGCTAGAGCATGTGTGTCTCGCAGCGACACCATGCAATGTATGCCATAGTAATGGAAGACATGAACGTTCATGACATGATAGTGTCTGTGTGTGCTGGCCGCAGTCAGTGTGGGCGCCGAGTACTGCATAGATCTCAGTGTGGGCGCCGAGCGCTGTGTAGACCTCACTGTAGTAAAATCACGTACATTTAGTGATTTATTTAACTTTGTGGGGGCAGTGCACGTGCACTGAGCACTGTGGTTGCAGAGCTAGGCAAGCCAGGCTATTGAACACATCATAATAATAAATAATATACATGTAATTTCTTTTTCTTTCTTTTTTTGAGCCTCCACTGAAATGCCGCTAGGGTTTATGGGGTGTTAGCGGCCGTCGTGAGTTCCCTTCGGGAACGGACACGATAATTTACCTTTACTTTTTGTTACTGAAATGACAAGCAGAACATTCTTCATTTAGAGTACGCATAGAGTCCGCATCGTTTGATTTTCCCATCATAATAATAATAATAAATGGGGAAATGTGTGTCGCTCCCTACGTGGACGCTCGCGTTTTGCCTGCCGACTTGAATTCTCATTTGACTGACTCACGCCTACTATCCAGAACACACGTGCACAAGAAGTCCATTGAGCCTGTCACTTGGCAAACCTGCAAGAAAGCACACCCCTGCTCAATACACAGTATTTGGGGGAATTCACCCCATATCAGTTGAATTATTTGAGTAGGCGCAAGATTGTACCTGAAGAGCACCACTAGTCATAATTATAATGCTGTCCACACCAAACCGTCACCAGGGATACACACTTACCGAGACGCTCCGTTTCCAGGGCGACAGAAACCTCGTGAGCATCAGATAGCAGCGTGAGTCAGTGTCGCTCCTGGAGGTGCTGAACAAGCGCTGAGGACTGTTGGCCATTCACAGCGCGGTTGCCCTCGAACCCTCTAATTCTGGTCTCGGGACAACAATGCGAAGAAGAGGTTGTTGCGACTTCGGTTAGCGCACTCAAGACGACAACACCTTTCTCTGATGTAGTCCATAGTTTACTAAACAGCGCTGTGTGCAGGTAAAGAAATATTTGTCAGTATCGTCAACTTGTCATGTTGCTGGTTTGTGTTGTCGGCCAGAGAGCGGATGTGATGGAGGTGGAATTGTAATGGGTAGCCGAGTGGTAGGCGCGGTGAAATCAACAAGAATTACTTTTATTCTACTTTCAGGTACACACCTGAGATATAATTGTTAGTGAAAGAAGAAGCGGCAAAATAAATAACTTTCTCTCCGGTGCTCACCTAGAGGTTGAATCCTTCTTCTTCGAGTTAGCTTTCATTGCTATCTAATCTAATCTAATCTAATCTAATCTAATCTTCTCTTTCTCAAAACAGAAATGCTCAGCCGCTTTTATGCAGCAGACGCCGTACGCTTACTAGGCCTTGACAGATTATGCTAATATTTTCGTGAAATTATGCTTTTCGCATTGCTGAAAAAATTGCAGAATTATGCTATTTTTATGCTAAAAGATATCATATTATGCCGCATTATGCTCACATATGCTGCTAATGTATAATGGTTTTGTGCAAAATAAAAGGGGAATTTTTTTGTAAAGAGCGTTGTACTTGTACTTTAGCAGCAAAGGTTCAACGGGGTCATGACGTCAACACACCGTCCGACCTAGCTACGACCGTCACTGATTGTACTGGACTGGATATGTTATCAAGGGAGTCGTAAACCTACGACTTCCTGGTGCATCTACTTGTACTTGTAGAACATGCACAACTGTATGGAATTAATTGATGCGAACAGGCGGATTATTCCAATTTCATGCGATTCGTATGCAATTTGCCTCGAATTATGCGATTATTCGATTTTGGTAGGAATTATGCGAAAAATTATGCTAGCATAATCCGTCAAGGCCTAACGCTTACATACGGAGATACACTAAAATTAATATACATCAGGCAAAGCTCCGTATTAGTTCCGTACTGCTTCCGTATTGGTCGGGCAGGGATACTACACCCTCCCTTCCTACAGATAATCACGCCCTCGTGATTTTCAAAAAATTAGTGAAGAGTTACGAACACAGCGTCAACCGGAAGATGGCAAATTATATCGGAAATGATAACGTTTAGAGTAGACAGAAGAAATGAACTGATAACAAATCATAAAGTAGAAGCACACCAGGTTCACACGATCTCACGGGGTCAAAAGGGGAAAGAACTGTCCTCCAAATAGGACCTGAAAATCCACAGCACTCTTGCTGCACAACGCTGGCACAACCCGCCAGGAACATCGCAGTTCAAAAAACCTAACTGAATACACTATAACTATAGGGGGTGTTGTTACACACATTGTCCCACGTTAGCTGGGTAAACCGTGGCTCACCATGATCAGACGCCTACCAAACTAAACTGGATTCACACACTCGCATAAAGGAAGACTGAAGAGAACAGGGAGACTGAAGGAAGACAGGAAAGAAAATGCCATACCTGGAATCAGCGTTAGTAACCACGGCGGCGGCTGGAGCTACGGCGGAGAGCAAGCCACGTTTTATCTTCATCTGGGTTGAGCCGGTCACTCAGAGCGGCTAGCTCGGCGTCAGACAAATGACCTGATTGACCTCCCTCCTCGTCTTGAATCGTGGTCTTCACATTGTCGATAGCATCGCTTTGCGTGACGTAAAGAGTGATGGTCTAGCCAGGAAGAGTGTTGACGAAAATCTGCATTCCACCATGGAGGCGAAGTACCAAGTGAAGAGTGGGCTCCTGCTTCCGACTGTGTGCCGGCGAAAATCAAACGCTGCTGGTCTTGGGGAATACCCTCCTTGTCTTGGGCAGCAGCCTGCCTGTTGTCGTCCTCATCAGCTTCGCCATCACCACCAGTAGTATTCATGAAGGTAGCAGGTCGCTTAGAATCGCCATGGTAGTCTGGGGTCGAATCACGTTGTTCTAAAACACACCGCTGCCACCAATGTAATAGGTAGCCGAGTGGTAGGCGCGGTGAAATCAACAAGAATTACTTTTATTCTACTTTCAGGTACACACCTGAGATATAATTGTTAGTGAATGAAGAAGCGGCAAAATAAATAACTTTCTCTCCGGTGCTCACCTAGAGGTTGAATCCTTCTTCTTCGAGTTAGCTTTCATTGCTATCTAATCTAATCTAATCTAATCTAATCTAATCTAATCTAATCTAATCTAATCTTCTCTTTCTCAAAACAGAAATGCTCAGCCGCTTTTATGCAGCAGACGCCGTACGCTTACATACGGAGATACACTAAATATACATCAGGCAAAGCTCCGTATTAGTTCCGTACTGCTTCCGTATTGGTCGGGCAGGGATACTACAGAATTGTTTCCAAGGCAAAGTGTTGGAGTATTGTTACTTCGTACATGGTGCATGGAAACTAGGTCACGTTGTAGCAAGATCATGCTTGCACAACTATGATAATTATTGAAGGCAATATGTTAGGTTTGGCAGCATCTAACTTCGCTGCCACTATTGTTCATGTATGTAATTTAAATATACTGAAGTACATGAACATTATCGTCTCCGTTCCCGACGGGAACGCAAGACGCCCGCTAAAACCTGGTTACCCGGTTGAAAGTGGTAGATGGAGCGCCAAACGATGGAGGATACTCCCCCCACCCCCCCCCCCACCCCCCCCCCCAGGCCCGTCGTAAGGCGATGCATCTGCCGCTGGGCGAGGGGATAAGTCTCACAACTACTGCCCTGGTACAAGAGCCGGAACATCTGTCACTGTAGTGTTGGAAACTAAACAACCCGCGCTCTTCAAAAGTAACTACAAACTTCTCGCTCCGTACAATCTTGGCATACAGCCTACAGGGCAACAGCACACCCATTGAGGATTAGTTCCTGGTCGTTCATTGAGGACGGGTCTCTTGGCTTTCCATCTCAGTTTGTTCCGGAGAACGCCGCCTTATTCCCTTGACAGCAACCCATGATGATTGTTCCTTCTTAGAATACTTCTTCAACTGTCCAACTGTGCTCATAACCATCAACTGACTGGATATCCATGGATGGTATTGATGTTTTACTGAGCCTGACTAGGCTAGAGCGTGCATGTCTCGCAGCGACACCATATGATGTATGGCGATTGCCATGGTAATGGAAGACATGAAAGTACTTCGAAGTAATTAGTTCGAAGTAATTAGTTCATGACACAATCGTGTCAGTGTGTGTGCTGGCTGTTTTCAGTGCGGGCGACGAGTCTGTAGAGTGTAGTGTGTACAATCATGTACATGTACATGTAGATCTGAGTGTGGAGGCTGAGCGCTGGGGTAGACCTCGTGTCGTGGTACTACTACTACTACTACTGTATACAGTGAAACCTGTCTAAGGCGACCCCTCATGCTCAAGGGACGAGAAAAAGTGGTTGCCGTGGCCAGGTGGTCTTCTTATCCAGGTTCAGTGGGTCACGTGACCATATCCACATGTGATGCATCATTAACAATTAAATTTTAATAATTATTTGATCAGTGCATCACCATGATCACATGCACAGTGCACACATCTACAGTGTATGCTACTCTTCTCTCTAGCATAACTCATGTGCCTAGCCTGGGCTAAGGTCCTCCTCACCCGCAGACCCCAGACCTGTCAAATGTCGTGCATGCACGCACCATGTACATCTACACTTCCTGCACTGATGTGTAGATCTACCATGCCTGGTGCACCGTGCAATGCATACACTTACATGACTAGCACGGTTCAACGCGGTCGCGGGTGGGTGGTCGCCTGTCGCGTTGAGCGAGTACTGGTCGCCTTTTCCGAGGTGTTTTGAACAAGGAAAAGTGGTCGCCATGGTCGAGTGGTCGCCATATCCGAGTGGTCGCCATTACAGGTTTTACAGTACTTGTACTGAGCTTTGTGTGGTAGGTGCGCTTACTGAGCATTGTGTGTGCGTGAGCTTTGTGTGGTAGGTGCACGTACTGAGCACTGTGTATGCGTGAGCTAGGCAAGCCACGCTGCGCTATTGCACACGTACTGAGCACTGTGTATGCGTGAGCTAGGCAAGCCAGGCTGCGCTATTGCACACGTACTGAGCACTGTGCATGCGTGAGCTAGGCAAGCCAGGCTGCGCTATTAGTATTGCACACGTACTGAGCACGTTGTGTGCGTGAGCTAGGCAAGCCAACTGCGCTATTGCACACGTCCTTCATTTTAGAGCCTCCTATATACTGAAATGACAAGTACATGTAGAAACAGTTTCCTCTGAGACAAAAATGCGATAATACTCATAAAAAGGACACACTTCAGGCTCATCACAAACATCATGTAGAAACATTCTTCATTTTATAGAGTACGTATCGTTTGATTTTCCCATCATAATTTTAAATGGGGAAATGTGTGTCGCACCCTACGGGTACGGGGGCGCTCGCGCATTCCTACTGAGTTGAATTCCCACTTGACTGATTCACGACTGCCATCCAGAAAACACGAAAATTCCATGGAACCTTCCACTTGGCAAACCTGCAAGAATGCACACCCCCTGCTCAATACACAGTAATTTGGGGAATTCACCCCATATCATTATCAGTTGAATTTGAGTAGGCTCAGGAATATTGTGTCTGGAGAGCACTAGCCCTTTCCCAAAGGTGCTCGCCCTTTTTGGCCCTTTTTGGAAAAGCCCGTTTCTTTCGCCCTCTATTGCGTTTTTTGGTGAATATCGCCCTTTTTGAGCTTTATTAGCTGAAAAAGTGCGAAAATCTGTTTGCTCATGCATGCGATCACAGTCTTCGAGTGCTCGATGGCCCTTGGCACGCCGCTTTTGGGGGGGGGGGGGCAACATCCAACAAGTACATGTACAATGTAGGTGAAGCTTGTACCCGGTGTACACAATGCTGTAAAAAGTGGCTTTTTTGAACTTTACTTCCTGTTTTGCCTTTCGTGGACCCATGAATGGAAGAGTGCGTATTCATTTCTCACCTTGGGTTCATATCTTAACATGTGTCATGGCTATGCTTCACTGAAAAAAGAGCACTTTTGCCTGTTTTCACTGAAAAGAGAGCACTTTTTCAGCATATTTTAGGGACGCGACAAACACCTAGTACCTCGTGAACATCATGATGATAGAAGCGTCAGTAAGTGGCAATATGACGTCACCGAAGCGTAGCACAATGTATATCAGCAGCGTGAGACGAGGCAAAATCAAGATGCACATAATTGAAGGGTCAAGAACACTTTTCACATAAGGATATCGGTGAAATAAACGAAGAATAGGATCAATGACAATGAGACGGCCTGCACGGTGTGTTGTTAGATCAGATGAGAGTGGTGATGCTTGTAGCAAAGCCAGGAACGCAATGTAATTGCAACAACCATAGTAAGCTAAAGACATTCGAGAAAACAGACTTCTTATCAGGAGTCAACATACATGAATGGAATATCAGGCTGATGATCAATTATCCACCAAACAGACTGCCGGTCAAGAGTCATCGTGTAGCACTGGGAAAAACAAACCGTCTGTCTGGCAATACTTGCGCTTCTTCGTCGTCTTGTTCTAGGCGGCTGTTTCGTTATCCAAGCTCAAGATGGCATGCCGCAGTTCGTAAACTGAATATACATGTAGGTCGACAGAATTAAAACAGATATGGATAAAACAAACCTCGGATGTTGAGCTGATAGTAATACATGTACATGTATGTAAAGAGAAAAGGACCAATACGTTACTAGTTATGACGTAACAGTCCACCAACGTAACGAGATTATTATTATTTGTGTGCCTTGGTGTCGCACTATCTGACTGTATATTATCTCGTTACCTTGGTCGCCTGTTAGTCATAACTGTTACTAGTAATTTGTAAGTCCTTTTCTCCTTACAAAATCACACATTACGAAATCGTAAAATCTGATATTATTCGAACCATCACCAAAGCAAAATTCTCGACCTACGCTGTCCTCTTATTATTCTCCTCCTCTCCTAACCTTCTCACCCTGGTCTCAACCGACCTACAGTGTGAAGTCCATGCAACGATGCCTAGAAGGTCTGTGGCCTGGACTCAGTGTGCCGCACTATAAAATGTCTCCGCTCGCTCACAGATGCCTTCTTTCCTTTTAAAATTTAATAATCCATTGATCTGGTTGTGTTTGGCTTTGAACGAACACAGGCATGTTTTGATTGACGTATGATCATGAAAACGAATACAGGTAATATGGAAGGTCGTATCATCACAACGGTACAGTGCATGCAGCAGAGTTGGCAATGGTGGGGCTACTTTCACTGATAGCAAGCAGGGAACATAATGCTGTCAGTGTTACTGCGATATGGCTAAGATGCATCAGCTTCGATTCTATGCCTGCATACATGTAAACCCAGTGCACTGCAATAATGATAATGATATTCTTACATTCGAGTGCCGTTGAGCTATCTCCATTCCAAACCATGCTATCGTGAACCATACATATAGGTTTCCTGCACGAAAACACGAGACAAAAACAAAACCAGAAGGCAAAATTCTTCCCAATTTCCTATTTACAAAATTATGTAAGTACACTAGCAGCACCCCCGCCAGCGTTGCCTGGCCGAATGTGGCATGCGCGCGGGTGAAGCAAGTACATGAACAGCACACGTGCTCAGCACGTGGTGGTGGCCAGACCGCTGAAGTCCTGGTACATGAGGGAGGTTCTTCATCGTTGGAAGGAGAAGGAGGGACGTCTGTTACGCCTTCGGGAGGCTGGTCAGGGTTGTCCATCACCTGGGTGGCGGATGAAGCGGCTCAAAAAATTCATAAACTTACGAACAAAAGTGCGATGCGCTCTTCACTGCAGATCAGATGCAGAGTGCAGTCAGTGCAGATCTTTTGTATCCTTTTGTTGCAGATGTTTCTATTTGCAGAGAACGGTTCACGTGGTCCGCAGCGCTTGTGCGGCTGCTAGTGCTACCTATGGCCTAGGCTAGGTAGGTGGCTACATGATTCGCACGCTTCGCGTGCTCAGTGCTTCTGCGCGCGGCTGCTACTGCTACTCGTACTGATCGTGTGTGATCGTGTCTGCTATAAGTATAAGCGCTACCACCGTACCTACACTGTTCGCACGCTTCGCGTGCTCAGCTCGTGGTGGTGGCTACACGATTCGAACGCTTCGCGTGCTCAGTGCTTCTGTGGCTGCTTCCGCTAGCTACACGATTCGCACGCTTCGCGTGCTCAGTGCTTCTGCGGCCGCTAGCTACACTGTTCGCACGCTTCGCGTGCTCAGGGCAGCGCTGCTCCGCAGCGCTTCAGCGTGACACAAAAACACACGTCACAGGTGCCTCTTCTTTATAAGGAGCGTGACACACACACACACACACAGACACACGTCACAGGTGCCTCTCTTTTATAAGTAAAGATGTACATGAATGTATTCTTTATTTTACTTCGCAGAGTCAAACGGGATCGTTGCCCAATAATATGCTAGCGAGGGTATTCAAGTTCCTTCGTCTAACGATCCTATAAAGCGAAATTTAGCTTTTTATGACTATACGATTCGTTCCAGGTGTACGAGGTCGACATCTCTGATGACCCGACCCGCAGCAAGAGATTGGCCAAAGTACCCAAATATCATGAGATTTACATTTTACTTGTCAGAAAATGTACAAGGAAAACTAATGGCAGTTATTTGATACAAATAGCGTGTATACGCCGTCGGTATAGCTAACATGTCCAATAGCCAAGACCTACTTGGGACCATATTCTCTATTACTATCTTCCCCTGTATCCTGACCACGTCCTTATCTAATGCAGCCTTCTATAACTTACGTGACCGCGAGTGTCGTGTCGGTGTCCCTGTTCCTTGAAAATCGTTGATAACGGGTCTCCAGGCTCTCCACCTCAGTTTGTTTTGCAGAACGCCGCCTTATTCCCAGACAGCAACCCATGATGATTGTTCCTTCCTAGATTACTTCTTCAACTGTTCAGCTCTGCTCATAAACATCAACTGACTGGATATCCATGGCTGGTATTGATGTTATACTGAGCCAGACTAGGCTAGACTAGAGCGTGCATGGCTCGCAGCGACACCATACGATGTATGCCATAGTATTAGTAATAGTACATGACTGTAATGGCATACATGAACGCTAATGATTGTGTCTGTGTCAGTGCAGTGTGTGTGTGTGTGTGTGTGCTGGCTGCTTTCATGTGTGGGCGCCGAGTACTGTATAGATCTCAATGTGGGTTCCAAGCGCTGCGTGGATCACGTGACACTACAACACAGTACATGTACTGAGCTTCGCGAGGTCAGTACACGTACACGGCTGTCCCATGCATGCGATGCGCGTTCATTAAAGGGGAAGTATACCCTAAAATCAAATTTTCACCAGTTGTAGTCTTCGGGGTGCTGAGTCGAATGGTCTTGGTCCGAGGAAGCTGAGACGCTCCCTTCCTACTTGAATCCCAATCGAACTCGCGCACTTCCACCGAAACTGGGTGACTGCGCCCTACTAGATGGAGATTTGTATGCAAAATGTCACTAAAAGCGCCATTTCGTTCTTATAAAAGCACGGATGACCGCGATTGGCCCATATGTTGTAGTCTTTTGGACGCTGAGTCGACTGGTTTTGGTCCGAAAAGGCTACGATGCAGCGCTCCTCCTTTATTCCCAATCGAACATGGTTGAAGAAGCGGTCACGTGCTCCTGCGTACACCAGTCACCTGGTCACCGTGCCTGCAGGGTACAACTTACTAGCCTGTTTGACCTTTTTTGGGTGCAGTCCTGTCACTCGAGTTGAACTCGAGTTGAACCTTGGTGTGAAAGTTGTCGCCTGCTGGCGCGGTGACCAGGTGATTTGGGCACCCAGGAGCACGTGACCGCTTGTTCAACCATGTTCGATTGGGAATAAAGGAGGAACGCTGCATCGCAGCCTTTTCGGACCAAAACCAGTCGACTCAGCGTCCAAAAGACTACAACATATGGGCCAATCGCGGTCATCCGTGCTTTTATAAGAACGAAATGGCGCTTTTAGTGACATTTTGCATACAAATCCCCATCTAGTAGGGCGCAGTCACCCAGTTTCGGTGGAAGTGCGCGAGTTCGATTGGGATTCAAGTAGGAAGGGAGCGTCGCAGCTTCCTCGGACCAAGACCATTCGACTCAGCACCCAGAAGACTACAACTGGTGAAAATTTGATTTTAGGGTATACTTCCCCTTTAAATATGGCGGCCAAATTTTAATCTTTTTCATTTTTTACGCGATCTGGCCTAGTCGTATGTTTGCAATTTCGCTCGACTTCCATCTCAAACGGGCAAGGTCAACCGAAACCACGGGTGTTTGCCAGGTCATTCGATAGAGTTTAGAGCTTGGACTGGCCTTGCCTTCGACTGTGCCGCCGCTCGAGCGATCTTCTTGGGTTACCCACGCGCTACGCATGGTTTCTTTCTCGACGTGGGTGCAATTATTTTTGGATCGTCGCTCGATTTCAAGGGCTCGCCAACCTCGTCAGCGAATTTTCTCCGCCTCGCAGACAATTTTCTAGTATACCTCGATGTCCTAGCCTTTCGATTTCGTGTAGTCCTAAGCTTGACGTGCATAACTGTAGCTTTTCGTGGCCATGTTAGAGACGTAATTTTGTTCAGAAATGGAGGCTCATGTTAGCTTCCTGTCGTCGTGTTGTCGTATTGGAGGGGAGAAATTCGCGTCAAGGAGTGGACAGACGAAGTATCGTGTGGCAGATCATACTGAATCCATTTTGGCAGTGTTTCATCTCAATGTGGATGAAACCAAATACACCCTGAACATTTTTGCCACACTTGAAAATTGGCCATGGAATGCACTGTTACTGCCAGGGGCCCAACATTCTCTGGAGCTCTAGAGGTGGATGTACACCGCTCAAAGACTGGGAGCCACACAGTGGGACAAACTGTTTGAAATGCAAGCCCAAGCCTGGCAGGAAGTCCAAATGCAGAACACAAACGCAAGACAAACTTGCGGCATGGGAGAAAACGCGGGCCATTGCCCGCAAGCACGAGCACATGCACGCCGCCACCACTGACAGCAGCATCACCAACAAAACCTCGCCCCACCACACCAGTACCTGATCACTGGATAGTTTAGTCTGTTCGGTTTACGAATTCAAAAAAGGCAGACAAAATAACAAAACTAAAAACACGAGCGTCGCATGGACCGAATCTGATGAGCAGCAGCGCGTCACACCCGCATACCAAGTTTAGTAATAGTAGTAGTATAGTATTTATTCATATTTCTCTAGGGCTTAGTGGGTAAATCTCTGCATCCAGAACAGTTCAGTTCAGATAGGAATGCAACAACACACGCACAATGTCCACTATGTCACAGTGTGGTAGGGAGAGAAGTGTTTGCAGCTTGCTGGTAGACGTTCAGCCGTGCATGCATTGGCAAATGGCTAGAGCAGACGGCCCGCTGCCCTTAATGTAAGGCACACACGCAAGCGTCAGAGCTACAGCAGCCAAACAGCATAGTTCATGGATTCATGAAAGACTGCACCATACACTGCGCCAGCTCTGGTAGGGTGCCCTTTTGAGCATCGTCACTGGTCGGTGACGTTTTGCAGGCCTCACCATCAAAGATGCGAGGTGATGCTGCTGATCGACTTGCTGGCATGATAGTCACAAGCATAACTAACGAAGGATGGCTGGAAGTCAAAACCAGCTGTAGATGTAGATTCCAGGTATACCAGACAATTACTGACGCCAGCACTTTATCCGATGCCCCATCAGCGTCAACTGTACGCCGAAGGTCACAGGACCGTGACAGCCTTTCGATCGGTCTACGGTCGGGAGACGGGGCTGCAAGCCCAAAGCAGCGGGTATATAGTGTTCGTCACCAGCTGAGCAAGAGAGCTTGCTGAGAGATTTAGGTGTGCACTGTTCAGCAACCAGTCCCAATATAGGTTTGTCCATGAAGGCTGGTGATCCTCAGCTATCATACAACAAATTCCTACTCACTGCGCATATGCGCATATGGCTTGTGAAACAGCAGCAGAAACTGCACTGCCTTGACAAACGCACCAGTTACCATGATGGAGCAGATATGCCCAGCCCTGGAAGCCAATACCAAATCTCCAATCGCTAGTACAAGTAGCTCTTCACTAAATCATGCCTAGTGCATGCTTGCAGTGATATTTTCAGCAAGAGCGCTGCAGTTACTGCTGCGGAGATATATTGCGTCCTTGAAGTCGAAGGCGCTCATCAAAGATGTCTTGCCATCAATTCTTGGCCTTATGCAGGCACGAGGTGGTCTCCCGTGGCATTGGCCATATTACCCCGAGCTGCACTTGCTCGAGGAGCACGTTGTTTCGCTCATGGAAGTCCTTCGTGTTGGACTGAGTAGGCTTGCTGAGAGAACAGAGCGCTGAATCCATCCACGTCCACAACTACGAATAATTTACAAAAACATTCCGACTGCAGATCAGCGCTTGAAAACGGCGATGCAAATCAGCGACGTTGGGCTTCTCCATTCAAAAGTAGAGCCTTCCTAACGAAGCAATTCTCATGTGACACTACATAGTCTCTCAAGCACTCTAGTTCAGGTCTTCTTCTCTCCACTCCATTATCATTTCGATCTTCACTCGGTCGACGTGATGGTAGTAGCTATGTAAATAATAATGATGGATTCCTCCCGATCCTCGTCGCGGCTAAAATTTGTTCGGTGTTTGTCTAAATTCTCAAACTGACAGGGTTTACAAGAGAAATGTACCTAATTTTGTGCGATTGATGCAAATAAATCGGAATATGTCTGACTTCATAAATCCGTGCGGTAAACCGCATGAAAGGACGCCATGTCATTAGATGGTGCACATGAAGTCACCGTGCGTACTGCATAGTGCGCGTGAGCTTCGCAAGCCAGGCTAGTATAGGGCTTGAAAGTGATGACGTCAAAAACGGCCAGGGAGTACTAAGTTGACATCAGATTTCTATTTTGGATCCACTAAGGTGTGACTTAGCTATTGCCTCAGTATGTGGGTGCATAGCAACCCACTCATGTCGTATGCAGGGGTGACTTTTACTTCGCCACCAGTTGTAACCCCGCCCCCAGTAGCCAAATCAGCCAGTTTCACTGGTTACATCACCTTGCTGAGAGTAAGACGGCTTGAAATGTGCTTGGATCCATACAAAAACTGGATCCAAGTGGATCCAATTTTTGAATTTTTGAAATTGTTGCTATGCTGTGACGTAGCACTTTCAAGCCCTATTGAACACGTCTTTCAAGTAATAGTAACAGTTTGGAGCCTCCACTGAGAAGAAACATTCTTCATTTAGAGTACGCATCGTTTGATTTCCCATCATATTAAATGGGGATATGTGTGCCGCTCCTTACGTGGGAGATCGCGCTTATCCTGCCGACTTGAATTCTCACTAGACTAACTCACGACTGCCATCTTGAGCACACGTACGAGAAGGCCATCGAACCTTCCACTCGACAAACCTACAAGAATGCACCACTCCCAACTCAATAATACATTGTTTCTGGGAATTCCACCCCCCCCCCCCCATCTGTTGAGTTGGAGTACTACTAGTAGGCTGAGGAAGATTGTGCCTGAACTAGGCTGAAGAGCACCACTTACATAATGCTCTCCAGACGTAAGCATCACCAGGGATACAAGCGTACTGGGACGCTCCGTTTCCAACGCGACAAACACCTCGTGAAACCAGATAGCAGTGTGAGTCAGTGTCGCTCGTATACATGTATATGTGCTAACCAAACGCTGATATTCCTTGGCCATTCACTACGTTGTTGCCTCCAAACCATCTAATTCGCAAGCCTGCGCCGGGGACAAAAATATGAAGAAGAGGTTGGCGCTCCTTCGGCGATACTTGGAGAATTGTGTGTCGCTCCCTATGTGGGATCTCGCGCTTTTCCTGCCGACTTCAATTCTCACTTGACTGATTCACGAACACCATCGAGAACTTTATTAATGCGATTAATAGTATAAGTGAAGCGGACATTACAAAATGATGAATGAGAATACATGTATCTAAAATGGTTGTTCCTAATCGATTTTCTTGAGACTATCATCAGGGAATAATCGTCTCACAATAGAGGATACGGAGAAACAAACTACTTATAGGTTATAGGATAGTGGGAAGTATACAAGGTGAGGTGTGAAAAGAAAAAAGAAAGTGGGAGAGAAGACGAAAGAAATTAGAAGAAAAGATGTGAGAGTGTTCCGACGGTGTGAGCTACTACAAAAGGTGAGTGAAATGAAGGCGTGGAAGCAGGTGAATGTGATATCTAATTTCTTTCGTCTTCTCTCCCACTTTCTTTTTTTCTTTTCACACCTCACCTTGTATACTTCCCACTATCCTATAACCTATAAGTAGTTTGTTTCTCCGTATAGCCACTATTGTGAGACGATTTTCCCCTGATGATAGTCTCAAGAAAATCGATTAGGAACAACCATTTTAGATACATGTATTCTCATTCATCATTTTGTAATGTCCGCTTCACTTATACTATTAATCGCATTAATAAAGTTATTGTCTCCTCGTCGCCTTACCATCGAGAACACACGAAAAGTCCATCGACTCTTCCACTCGACAAACCAGAAAGAAAGTACCTCTCCCTTCTCAATACACAGTGTTTTGGGGAATTCGCCCCTCACTAGTGGCATTCCCTGAAACACTCAGGTGGCTGCGTATCGAGCAGGGATTGGTGCCCCTCTTGCTGGTTTGCCGAGTGGAAGGTTCGATGGACTTCTCGTGTGCTCTAGAGGCAGTTGTGAGTCAGTCAAGTGAGAATACAAGGCAGTAGGAAAAGCGCAAGCTCTGACGTAGGGAGTGACACACAATTCCCCAAGTATCGCCGAAGTCAAAAATGTCTTCATAAAATATGAAATGGTTCTCCTTGACCAATTTTGACAATTATCGGCCTCCCTTTCAAGGCGTTGGAGTGTTGTTGCATGGCAAATAGTGCATGAAAACATGGTCACGTTGTAGCAAGGTCGTTCCCGCACAACAATGATAATTGAAGGGAAGTGGTTAGGTTTGGCAGAATCTCACTTTGCTTACACTGTTGTCAGTAAGTAAAGTAAATTATCGTGTCCCTTCCGATGTAAACTCACGACGCACCCAGGCAACCCATCGGTAGGTACAGTGAATAATAGTTGGGGTTTTGGGCATCGGCGAAAGAGCCGAAAAACCCGACACTGTAGGAAACTAAACGATCGAGGCTCTTCACAAGTATCAACAAACTTCTCTCTCCATTAAAATCCTGGCATACAGGGCAATAGCAAACACGTTGAGGAGTAGTTGGCCTCAGCCAGATTTGAAGCGGATAGCAAGAGAGGTCCAGAAGAAAGAACTGAGAACAGATCATCAAGCAAGTGAAAAATGAAAACATCGTTCAAGCCACTTCAAGAACCAGGATATGGATAAATACCACTGGGGCCGTCAGACCAATTTACCTAACCGAGCTAGCCGGGAAAAACACCCTCGTGCCGACGGACACAGTGCACTGTTAGGAAGGAAAAACCGGGTGTATAACCCCGGTTGCAATACAGCACCATGAAAAGAACATCCCAACGTATGATCAGTGTTGGACAAAAGAAAAATCAAGCTTCACACAAAGCATCCAAAAACAGCGTGGCAAAATGCATATCGGCAGCTTTGGACATAGCAAGATCAAGAAGAACATAATTTGAAAGGTGGGAGGTTACGGACACTCTTCACATTCCAAAAGCGGGCATAGTAACCCAAGAAAAGGTTCAACGATCTCGATAAGGAAATGAAAAAGGCTTACATGATGTATTGCCAGATTACAGAGGTGATGCATGCAGTTAAGCGAAGACGAACTAGAACATCTATAGACAGATGAAGAGAATCAAGCAAACAGGCTGCCTGACAATAGTCAACGTATACCAAAACTCAAATGGAATAACAAGCTCATGATACAATTTTTAAGCAATCCGATTGCCGGTGAACAGTCAACATCAGACAACATGTACAAGTACTACTAATATGGATAAAGTGAACAGTCCGTCTGCCAAGTGTCTCCTGTTTGTATCGCACACATATCAAAATTTTAATGTCAGTGAAGGCTATTACACAATCATTCTGCCAAGAAGGAAAGACGACGCCCTTTCGGCTTCTTGATCATCGTGCTCTTCACGTACATATATCTGCTGTTATCCAAGCTCCAGATTAAATGCCGCAGATCCTCAACTAAAATGTACATGCAGGTCGACCAAATGGAAACAGATATGAAAGGTAAAAAATAGGAACTATTTCAAATCATCTAAAAACGTTTACTATCTACCCATCTCTGGAAAGCTCAGTAATGGTGTGGTGGTTGATAGCGCCCTCTCTGCACTATTATTATCCCCCCCCCCCCCCCACCAATAGGGGTGTGCGGATAATGCTCGAAAAGGTGGCAGATTCGGCTCGAAAAGCAGTGAAATTGGCAGAACCATACAAACCTTATGGCGGGCAATTTCTCGAATTCTGTTCCATTTCTTTATCCACATACCAGCATGCATGAAACTTACCAGAAAAACTACCGAATTCTGCCAATTTTTATGCCGGCATTATCCGCATACATGTATGCCTACCCACCAACCGCTAAAGTGCGAAGTCCGTGCAAGGATGCTTCGATGGTCTGTAAAATGGGCGTAATGTGCTGCACTATCAGACGTGTCTCTACTAGCTTGCTGATGCGTTCTTTCCTTCATACTCCATTGATTGGGTTGTGCTCGACTTACATACAATGTATAAAATGAACAAAAGACAGGGTCATACCATCACAGTGATAATTGTAGTGGATAGTTGGCCGTACTACAAGGATGGTTACTGGGTGGTTCTTTTCACTGATAGCAAGCACAGTACATAACGCTGCAGTTGTCACTGTAGAATGGCCAATATTCACCAGCTTCGATTCTACACATGTATTTCCGCTTAATTTTTCAGTGCGATAATGACATTCTTACGTTCCGGTGAGGCTGGCTTCTCTCCATCCCAGTGCTCAAATGCCCCGCGCAGCGTAGGGCTAGCGCAAACAGCAGGACCAATAAAAGACAAAAACAAGAAAAACACAAACAGAGGTAGACAACTGAACTCGGGAGGATAGCCAAGGACTTAATTACGAAGAAAGGACCAAAAGTTTACACGTTACTCGTAGTTGTCCAACCCTGGCAATGGTAAGATTGATATTGATGAGTCAGAACGTGCAAAAGTTAGCACAAACTGTGACCGCTGTGGCACTGACATTCAAAGACCCGACGTTCAGCTCCATCACGTCCTGAATGCGCACGCCAACAACGTTACTTGGAAGGTTTTAAGTTGTGAAATATCTTCAGGAAGAGAAGGTGAGCGAAATCCAGACGAAAACAAACTAGACATCACAGCGAACCGAGAATGTCAGCCGTCACAAGAAGGTGACGAAAGACAACGGAACACAGCACAGGACGTCCACGAACGTGGCTGCTGGCGTGAGCATTCAAAACGTGATGGAACTGTCAGGTCATTGTAATGACTTCTCAACATCAAACTTTGCATGTTTTCAACAAAGGTATTGAAATTCCTTTGTCAAACGAGCCAATACGGTGTGGCTTCACTTCTTATGAGTGTAACAGGGTGCTGAAATTTGCTACGCCCATTGACTACTGTATATTTGAAATCTGAGTTGACGATGGCCAAGTGCCGAAACGTTGTAAAAATAACGGAACTGGTTCGGATGTGCAGAGCGATGGGAATGAGTGTGTCCACCCGAATTCCTTTCAGGAATGAAGCTGCAGGAAGCCTCAGCCCTTCTTCAAATGAGTTAAAAGTATAAGGAATTTCTCATGCGATTTAGTGCCTTTGCTATTAGCTGTATGCAGAACTCACTGACTTGTCACTTTGAGCACTCTGGCAAGTTACGTTCCGGCCTGGTGTAAATCTGGCTTTGGAAATTTTATTTTTCGTTCCTATCAGGTTCGGCTTCATTTTCTCTGTGCTGAGCTGATGAGCCTTACATATCTGATGACCTGGCCTGGCTCCAGGGGACAGATTGGATAACGTATGCCATACTTTTCAACTGTTCAACACCGGACATGTACATGTACTTCAGCATGCATAACAAAATGGTGCAGCACGGATCTTATACACAAACAGGTATATTGTTTTGTTCTATTAGTGTTCGATATTGAATTTTATACACAATTTTAATTCTAAGGAAAAAAGGACCAAGAAATTACAAGTTACACTATAAAAGCCCCTTGTCGGGCATTGGTTGTGAGACTTACCACCTCACCCTCGCCGTTAGGCGCTGCGTCTGCCACCCTGGTAGCACAGGCATGGTGGTGGCCTGGCACAAGCAAAACTTCCCAAGCTGGTTGTGTTTCTCAACGCAATTGTATCGCCGGTGGTAACGCGGACGTGCAAACTTTACTATAACGTCCACTAACACCACCAGTTACTAAACAATCAGCTCCTGCGATGACATTGCACGACACTGACTGTTAGCCAGTTTAGAGTTAGTTGTAGAACGTCAGTACCGTCGGTCAGTGTCGTGCAGTGTTATCGCATGAGCTGATTGCTTAGTAACTGGTGGTGTTAGTGGACATTATAGAGTAAAAAGTAGTTTCTTTGTCCTTTTTTCTTTACTATAAATATATTCTTGGCTCTCCATCCGAGTCCAACTTTTATTCTATTTCTTATTAAAAAATTCCATTCGTGTTCGGTTTAACTATTCACTGTACTGATACATGGTGATGATTGTGCTTTGCTTTGCCCGTAAAAGAGGCATTTTCACACTATACATGAACAATGCATACATTCTAAAGCATGGCATACAAATGCATTCGTCAAACCTTGGTTGTGACCGTCATCAGTGCTATTCTATGTCTTTATCCTCTCTTAGTCACTGACTACTAGTACAGCAATACTCAATAAAGATTTGTGTATAACATACCTGGCCATGTCCCTTGTGGCACGATGAGAACGGGTCTCCAGTCTCTGAACCTCAGAACGTCGCCCTATTCCCTGACAGCAACCCATGATGATTGTTCCTACTTAGAAAATATGTTTTCAACTGTTCAGCTCTGCTTATAAAGATCAACTGCCTGATTATCCATGGATGGTATTGATGTTATACTGAGCTAGATTAGGATAGAGCGTGAATGTCTCGTACCGGCACCAGGCAATGTATGCAATCGCAATGGAAGACATGAACGTTCATTGTGTCTGTGTGTGCTGGCCGCTGGCAGTGTGGGCTCCAAGTACTGTGTAGGTCTCAGTGGGGGCGCCAAGCGCTGTGTAGACCTCGTGGTGCAACATGTACTGGGCTTTGTGTGGGCAGTGCACATACTCAGCCCTGGGTGTAGGCAAGCTAGGTTATCGAACACGTCTTTTCATTTTGTAGCCTCCACTGCAATGACAACAAGAAGAAACATTCTTCAATTAGAGTGTGCATCATTTTGCCATAATAATAGTTTTAAAATGGGGAAACTTGTGTCGCTCCCTACGTGGGCGTTCGCGCTTTTCTCGCCGACTTGAATTCTCACTTGAATGACTCACACCTGACATACACAGTGTTTCGTGGAATACACCCGTTATCAGGTGAATTTGAGTAGGCCGAGGAAGATTGTGACTGAAGTACACCACTAACTTATAATGTAGCGGTCTCCAGACCCGACCATCACCGGGGATACGCACTTACAGAGACGCTCTGTTTCCAGGGCAACAAACACCTCGTGAACATCAGATTGCAGCGTGGGTCAGTGTCGCTCATACTCATAGAGTTGCTGAAAACAAACGCGGCTGAGGACCGATGGCCATTCACAGCGCCGTTGCCTCCAAACCATCTAATTCTGGGCTGGGCCAACAGTTTGAATATTGATGTGACCTCTGCGATTACTCAATATTCACTGACGGTACCTATAGTGGTCTAAACAGTGCTGTATGGGGGAAAACAATATTATATTTGTCAGTATCACAAGACAACTATTCGTTAGTATCTACAACTGGGAGTCGTGTTGCTGGTTTGTGAGGTCGGCCAGAGAGTTTTTTACACACAAATATAAAAATTGTGGTGAAAAAGGAGCAGGACAAAATGTTACGAGTTAGTCATAACTCGTAACATTTGTCCTTTTCCTTTTTCACCATAATTTAATTGGCTCACAATCCGAGTTGAATACAAAAAATTGATTTGAAGTTTTTTGGTTTGGGTTTGAAAATCTTTATTTTTCTCATGCATTTTTCTGATTTCTTCTCCAGTGTATGTTTTATTGCATTTTTTGATCCATTGGGTAAATTTTAAATGGAAAACCTTACACGCATACCATCTTCAATCCAAGTGGTCTCTTCGCTGCAAATCGCAATAATTATCCATCAAATTTTCGGCCAGGAGAAATCATCAGGATTGAGGAAAAAACAAGTGAGGTGGACCTATAACAGGCAACACAAAGTGGAACGAAACTGCACCATACGTAATAAAAATGCATCGTCGTGTTAATTTTGCCCGTAAAGGAGGCTTGTTCCAATCCCTCTTGTGTCGGCCAGAGAGTGAGTGTGATGGATGTGGAATTGCTTCTTTGTAAAGGTGTTTACTGCTCGGGTATTGTTGCATGGTACATGATGCATGGAAACAGGGTCACGTCGTAGCGAGGTCGGGCCCGCACAACTATGATAATTGAAGGGATGTGATTAGGTTTGGCCGCATCTAACTTTGCTTCCACTATTGTGCATGTAAGTAAGTAAGTAAGTTATACATTAAAATGGGGCGGGAATTCAAGACACCCGCTAACACCTGGTTAACCAAGCGGCAGATGCAGCGCCTAGCGATTGGGGGGGGGGGGGTACTCACCCCCATCGTTAATCACCGAATCTGCCACTAGGCGAGGGAATAAGTCTCGCAACTACTGGCACAAGAGCCGAAACACTTGTCACTGCAGGAAACTAAACAATCCGGGCTCTTCGAAAGTAACACAAAATTTCTCGCTCCATACAATTATAGGATACGGGGCAACAGCACACCCATTCAGGAGTAGTTCCTGGTTGTTCGTTGAGGACGGGTCTCAAGGCTCTCCACCTCAGTTTGTTACGCAGAACGTCGCCTTAATCCCTGCCAGCAACCCATGATCCCTGTTCCTTCTTACAATACTTCTTCAACTGCGCTCATAATAAAGTTCAACTGCCTGATTATTCATGGCTGGTATTGATGTTACACTGAGCCAGACTAGGCTAGGCTAGAGCATGCATGGCTCGCAGCGACACCATGCAATGTATGCCATAGTAGGTAGGTAGGTAGGTAAATTTTTATTTGAATTCGCAGAACCAAACCGGCGGTGTCCCCCAAATTACATGGAAGCGAATGGAAACAATAAAATATTGTAGGAAATAACCTAACATGATAGCAGGGTGTAGTACAAATCAAAGAACACTCAGTCAGCTCAGTCAATGAATAACGTAAAGTAGTGGAAGACATGAGCGTTACGATTGTACCAGTGTGTGTGCTGGCTTCTTTCAGTGTGAGCGCCCTGCATGGATCTCAGTGTGAGCGCGGAGCGTTGTTTGATTTTCCATTATAATAATAAGGAAATGTGTGTCGCTTCCTACGTGGGAGCTCGCGCTTTTCCTGCCAAATTCAATTCTCACTTGACTGACTCACGATTGTCATCCAGAATACACCAGAAAGTCCATCGAAACTTCAACTCTGCAAACCAGCAAGGGAGCACCACTCCCTGCCCAATACACAGAGTAGCAAGGTTGCGTTCGAAACATTATGATAAAATAGAAGGGAATTAGTTAGATTTTTGAAAGGATTGGGAGAACTTCAAATTTAAAGGATCAGTTGGGGAAGTGAACTGCCTCCTGGTGGGTTTGGCGATTTTTTCTCTTTTCAGGCAGTTCACTTCCTTTTTTCTTTCTTTTTTGAACAATGCAACACAATATTGTGGAAAGGTCACAACAATAAGAGACAAGATCAAAAGGAACTTCCCCAACTGATCCTTGGAATTAGTTAGGTTTAGCTTAATCTAATTTGCTTATACTGCTGCAAGTAAGTCACCATGGCTGGTTAAAATCGCCCGCATCACATACTTATTGGCACTATGACATTGTCATCGTGATTGTGGAATAATAATAAAAATAATAAGTAAAGTAAACTATGGTGCCCGTTACCCGAACGGAACTGACGACGCCCACAATACCCGGAAAACCCCGTAGTGGCCTGTGCAGCGAGGGTTGAGGGGATAATTCCTATAACCACTGGTACAGAGCCGAAAAGTCTGTCGTGGTCGGAAACTAAACGATCAAGGCTCTTCAAAAAGTATCTACAAATATCTCGCTCCATATAATCCTGCCATACAGGGCAACAGCACACGCACTTAGGAGTAGTTGGTGGCAGACAGAGCGAATCGGATAGCAAGAGAATCCAGAAAAAAGGACTGAGAACAGAATATCAAGTGAAAAATAACGAAAATGTTTGCAAGCCAATTCGAAAAATATGATATGCCACAATACCACTGGGGCCGTCAGATAAATTTACCTGGACCGAGCCAGCCGGGAAAAAACCCTCGCGCCGACGGACGCAGTGCACTGTTATGAGGGGAAAAACCGGGTGTATCACCCCAGTGGCAGTATGACGTCATGGAAGCGAAGGACAATACATAATAATGCAGAGTTGTACAAAAGAAAATCAAGATGCACATAAATGAAGGGCGCGAGGTGAACGACACTCGTCACATTTCCAAAAACGGATATAGCAACACAAGAAACGAATCAACGATTTTGAAAAGGAAATGAAAGGGTTTGCGTGATGCATTGCCACATTCCAGAGGTGATGCGTGTAGCAAAGCGAAGAACAACTCGAACCACTACAGTAAGATGATGAGAATCAAGCAAACAATCTGCCTGTGAATTTTCGGCGTCAGTGACTCCTGTTTGCATCGCATAAGAATCAGATTCCAGTGGATAACTTGAACGTTACAAAATCATTGTTCCGAGAAGCACATAGGACACCCTTTGAGCTTCTTACTTGTCGTGCTCCTAGCGTATCTGCTGTTATTCAACCTCCAGGTTGTATCTCGCAGCTCATCAACTGAATATATACATGTACATGTAGACAGACAAGATGAAAAGAGATTATAGTAAAAACAGAAGGAATTACTAGTATTTCAAATCATCAAAAAGACAAAAACATTTTATTGTTGACCCCTCTCTGGAAAGCTGGCTAGATAGCGTAGTTATGCTGTGGTGGTTGATGATCGAGCCCGGTCTGTCGACTGTCGTACTATTAGTATTTCTTCTCTCACCCCCCCCCACACACACACACACACAGACGCACCCGCCAAAGTGCGAAGTCCGTGCATCAATGCCTAGAGGTTCTGTAGCCTGGACTTAGTGTGTTGCACTATTATTATTATTATTATTATTATTTTTCTGTTGTTGTTGTTGTTGCACTATTGTTAAATTTTGTCTGTGCTCGCTCGCAGATGCCTTCTTTCATGATCAATTGTTCGGGTTGCGTTTGACGTGAAACGAACACACGCATGTTTGTCACTGCAATATGGCTAAACTGTTACGTACCAGATTCGATTCTATCTCTGCATATACCCAGCGCAACAATGCAAATTAAAATGATACACACGGCTTCACCATAGCTCAGTGGTTAGAGCATCGCTGGCTACAACTTACAAGCGAGGGTGCCTGGTCCCAGTCCTGGTGGTGACAGTCAATTTTTTCTTCAGACTTTTCCCGTTTGTCTCTTTCCCTCAAACTAGTTAATAGATAATGATAATGTACTTACATTCCAGTGGCTTTGAACCATCTGCATTTTTGACCAAGGTACTGCAAAAAATAGGATTCCTACAAGAAACACCAAAATAAAACGCAAACAAAAGTAGGCAGAGTACTTATGGTTGATTCTTATGGTGGTAAACACACACCTGGCAATATGGCGGTAAACGTATCAATCAACTGTACTTAAATGTACAGCTGCTGTGGTGTCTTCAACTTCATTCTCCGGAGTCAAGCTCCGTGCGAAGACATGGAAGAAGAAGATTGCCTGATTAGTCCAGCGGTGACGAAACGTACATGTAATTCACAATCGAGCTATGTCGTTGCTATTGTCATCTTCCATGTGCCATGCGCTACCTGCTGTGCCAGCCTGCTATGCTGGTTACCGCTAATCATGCATCGACGATGCGCCAGGCACAACCTGATGGTAATGGTGGTGCGAAGGGGAGCTCTGTGCCAGAAGAACTATATTTGCAGCCTAGATAGCGTGTGTGGGCAGGCGTGTATTTACCGCCATATTGCCGGGTGTGTGTTAAGGGGGCAGCCTACCCATAAATTTCATATGGCATTCAATTGACTGTAACTTTGGTGTTTCTCAATGGATTTGATGGAAATTTGGACCACACACTCCTGCCACTATGCTGGCCCTCAGGACATGATTTACAAGTTCTTGCGCCTCACTGACAGGCTTTCCAGGCCGAAAAAACTCAAATTTCCGGCATAGTGCCACGGTGTGCGAGCCACCCAGGAGCCAAACAAATGCATTTACAATTTTTCACATTTTCGTGCTCATTCTGTTCGTGCGCGGGACTCAAACCTAGAACAAGTCCAGAAGCAGCCATGGGTGATGGGGTTGGGCCCCTCAACGAGGCCCTGGAATCTGTCACAACGGAACGAGTGGGCGTTCTCTCACACACTCCCACAGACCCAAGTCAATTTTTGAATTTTTTTAGGTTTAGCACGTGCTACCAGGTCGTACCTTTGATACAACATCCAGTGCTGGGACCCCCACAGCAAGCCATTTCCACAGCGCTGCACACCAAATCCAGGATACCCTCAGAAACCGGCAAAGACTACCACTCACGTTTCACTACTGCCTAGTACTGAATCCTACCTGACTTCTTGACACGACTCAAACTTGCCAAAGTCACTAAATCAACGTCAACTACAATAATCAAGCCACATATCTGCAACGTCACGAGGGTGCTGGCAAAAGTCCTGCTGCACGGCGGCGGGCTTCGCCCGCCGCCGTGCAGCCCAATACGTGGCTCAAAAACCTGATTTTTTGGACACGTGTTTCCATGATACGACAAGTTGCGCACGGTCTGCTCACATTCAAATACAGTGCTGCCAACAAATGACAGCGTGCAACAAAAAAATCTTTCCTTGCAAGGGCACATTTTCGGCCATAACTCTTGACCGGCCGGTCAGATCGGGACACAATTTTCAGAGAATTTGCAGCTATTCATGCTCTTACAACTGACGAAGCACTCAATATGAATTTACAAATTCGATTTTTCAGCGAATTTTTGGGTAGTCTGCCACCTTAACCATCATATGAATCAACCATAATTATGATTCTTTCTAATTTGAAATAACAAATTACTTAATTAGAAAGACTCCTATGGTTTCGGAAAGGTATCATACGGTCAAGTAAAGCCCATTTCGTATTTTCCTTGCATCATTGCCCACGGAGGTATCTTAGGTTACTGAGCGCGCTGTGCTCGGTAATTCTTTGCATCGGAAGTGCATGTTCTTGCTAAATAGCCACAAATCCTGTCTAGCAAATTGTAGGCTGCATAGGGTTACTGGGTGCGCCTTGCTCGGTGATCCTTTGCATCGGCTATGCATGTTCTTGCTGAATTGGCTTTACCGGCTTGACTGTGTGGATTGCGCCGGTGCTGACACCTTTTTCGAAATGGGATACGACTCCTATGGTTAACAGTGAATACTCTTATGGTTGATTCACATTATACAAAGGCAGTCAAATTCAATTTACCCTAAGACAAGAATGCGATACTACTTCGAAAAAGGACACACTTCAGGTTCTTTACGAAAATCTTGAAACCTGTAGTAATTTGAAGTCAAATTCCTTAGTCAGATGAACGATTGTGCCAAAAAGCAACAGACCACTCTACTTGGGGGGCTCAAGTTTATATGATAAATTATACTCAAATCTGTGGACAGCAACCGTTTCGCTCTGTTAGAGCTCATCAGCACAGCTCAGAGGACCGAAGCGCAGCTCTTCGCAATGAAATACGTTTCCGTGAAGCAAAGCATTTTTATAAAGAGCTGCAAACCCCGCCAAGAGTGCGCGAAATGCTCCAAGAGCAGTGAACGTTGCACAAGGCGAGCGGCAAGGGTTCGCGCTAAGGTAAGAGTGCTCAACCTAACGACATTACTGACGCTAGGGAGCATAATACTCAACTATGTGGACAGCAACTGTTTCGCTCTGTTAGAGCTCACTTATAATTATATAAGCATAGAAGGGGTTTTTCTTTGCGTTGTCGAGTTGTCGTAAGACCGGTATGATCAATTGTCTTACTAGTCTCGTCATCATCCAGTAACGCTCGGCATTCTTTGTTGCCGTTAACAATACGAGTGTGTAGCTCGTGCTCATCTTCTCGCGCTTTACTTCCCCACTTTGGATCTTTCCTTACCTGAGCCTCCCAAGTTGGAAGGTTGTTGGTTTGCGCCTCTTAGTCTTAGATGTGTTGGAGCTAGGTGTCAGGTTGTTGAATGCCTCAGTACTCCTTGTCATTTTTATGACCTGTTGACGAATTTGCTGACTGTATATTATCTGGTTACATTGGTGGTCAGTTGGTGATAACTCGTAACATTTTGTTCTCTTTGTTCTATTTATCCGTTAAAAAAATAATGGTTAATTAAGCAACCAAAAACTTTCAAGATGTTCGTAAAGAGCCCGACGTGTGTCCTTTTTATGAGTATTATCGCATTTTTGTCTCAGAGGAAACTGTTAATTATTTAGCAGTGACTTGATACAATGAACCTGTAATGGCAGTATACGCTGTAAGTATAGCTTACATGTACATGTGCAACAGCCAAGACCTACTTGGGACCGTAAACTCTAAAATAATAAATAAAGTATGGCAATCTTCGCCTGACTACTGACTACGTCTTTATCCAATCCAGCCTTCTATTTTAACTTACGTGATCGTGATCATCCTTGTGCTGTCCCTGCTCCTTGTCGCACGCTGAGAACGGATCCTCTCCAACTCCTCAATTTGTTCCGCAGAACGTTGCTTTCTTCCCATACAGCAACCCATGATAATTGCTCCTTCCCAATTATTACTTCAACTGCTCAGCTCTGAAGAGAAAGATCAACTGTCTGATTATTCCCCGATAGAATTGAAGTAGCATGATACTGAGCTAGACTAGGCTAGAGCGTGCACGGCTCGCAGCGGCACCACACAATGTACTACTGTATGCCATGATTGATAATAATTAATACGCATTGACTGGGTGTGCTGGCTACGGTCCATGTGGGCGCCGAGCGCTATGTCACGGAGGCCCCGACATGTGCTGTCATAATCATTGTAGTGTGGTCTGGGTCAGTGCAAATGTTGGGCACTGTGTGTGCTTGTGATCAGTGCATGCAGGTCAACCTCCACCAAATACCAAGAAGTACCTTTTTTTAGAATTGCTGCATGTATAAACAGAACGAGCTGAACAGTCATTTCACAAAGGCTTTATTGTGTTCAAAACTAGTGGATAAAAGGGGGTTTGTCAACTGACAACCACTCTACATGTACAATAATTATGATGTCCACCACTTTCTGGAAAAAAACGAGTGGATACGAAAGAGACGCGTTTCCATTATCACATTTGTTTCTCCTTCCCTGTTCTTCAGCCAATCGTTTTGAACGCACAATAGCCTTGGTGAAATGACTGTGCTGGACGGGGTTTGCCAATTCTTGGCTCCTTTGAAAGCTCTTTGAGCCTTGTTGCGTAGGCCATGGTGCCTGAAAGCAAGATCCCGTTGTAGCAAGGGCATGCTCGCAATAGTAGCATGATGAGTATCATGATTTTCTTGAGCACTTTATAGAAGCCCGTTGCCATGGACTATCCAACCAAGCGGGTATCATGGCTGCTGCAGTGAAGTCCTAACAGATAGTACTGTACACACACGTACATGTATTTTTGCTCCTGAGCGGTTGCCTTCGCTTATCCTTATGACCAGGGTGATTGCGGTGTGTCATCTTCATTGATCTTACCTCAAAATATCATTTTCAAGCATTCATTTCTTCAGGATATGGAAAAGGGAAAGGCGTGGAGAAAACTCCTCCGCAGCGCGCGACCACCAGAAAAAGACCAAGGCCCCCAGGACTCGTACCAAGGACCCAAGTCCTTCAAACAACGGTCAACGGGATGCAATGATCATGATTGTACATGTACGCTGTACATAATGCATGTGGTGTGCTGCATGGACGCTGATGTCAGTAATGAGCAGTGGCGCCGACAACATACTGCCGCCATACTCTGATACTGGCTCGATGTTGAGAAATGTAGCATTGCGTTGCAGGATACAGTACAGGCTACGGTCAGTACGGAACATGAGTGGGCCTGCCGCCATGGAAACGCCATCACGACCCATACCGGCATACGCAAGCAATAGAAGCGTGCAAAAGATAGGTCAAATAAAAAAGGAACCCGCGCCGCGTCTTGGTTTTTTCCAGATCTACGCGTCTGTACGGCAACGGGCAGGGTGACCATGGTGACACGGCTTTTCGTCATGTAGCACTTATGCAACAGTCATGATCTGTGCCTTCTGTCGCCACGGCAAGCCATGGCAAGCAGCATAGCCATGGCCCATGGCATAGGTCTAAGCACTAGTACTAGTACTGTACTACAATCTACATGAGTGCTAGTAGTAGTAGTGGCAGTGCGCGCGGAGGTGTGCAGTACGGGTTCGATGCTGCAGAAACTGACGCCAAGACGGCAAGAGAGCGAGCATGGCATTCAGCGCCCACCATGCTGACGAGATTGTGCTGGCTAATGCTGCACTGTCTGCAGTCTAGTGTAGGCATGCGGACTCCGCACAGCCAGTGGCAGTGCCTGCCATGGCGCCAGCGCTAGCGCCTAGGCCTAGGCTAGCTATCATACTCAGTATAGGCGGACGGTTTATTTTTTTATTTTTTTATGAAAGTGCACACGCCTACATAGAATGGAAGAGACCATGTACCAACAATCAACATGGCGTGTAGGTGCTGTGGCGGTGAGGTGAAGTGCGCTCCCCCGACCAATGCCAATGGTCTCTGCCTCTGGATATAGGCGCACCTTCGTTTTATTTTATTTTTAATTTTATATTCCATACATTCATAACAGTCATTTCCATTGATGAGAACGATCAACTGGGACGGACTCCGCACAGCCAGTGCCGCCTCACCACCCTGGAGGACATGTTTAACATTAAGCTCCTCATCTTTGTCCGTCGTTGTCTGTTCTCCCGAGCTAGCTTCCTCTTCACCAGCTTCTTTGTGAGAGTTACTGGTGACCGCACTCGGGGAGCAGCACATCACCTCGTTCGAGTACCATTTTGGCCCCGTCCTGCAGGTCGAGCGACCATGCAGTTCATCGGCGCAGTCCTGTGGAACCAGCTCCCGCCTGATCTCCGTTCCGAGCCCAGCCACCTTCAGTTCTGTGCCCTGCTAAAAGCGCATCATGGCTCCGCTTAAATGCTTTTCGGCTAGTGTGTTTCTGTGGTATAGCGGACTGAAGAATAGTAAACGTGTTTTGCAATAATTTATATGTATGAAGCTATTTTGTATATAGTATGTTCCCATTCCGTTTTTGCCTTGGTGTAGCCCTGAGGTTGATTGCTTATTTATTTCTACCCTTCCTCTCTCCATACTTCTGTCCCCCCCCCCCTCTCTCCCCCCCCCCTCTCTCATTCATTCTGTCGTCCACATGTATCAAAGGAGGCAAAATCGCCTGTTTGTGGTGCGACGTTAAATAAACTTCTACAACAACAACAACAACAACAACAACAGTGCCTGCTAGCGCTAATAGCGCGAGCAGAGAGGATGCCGACGGTTCGTTTTATAGTTTTTTAATTCTAGATGGCAAGTCCAACGTTCATAAAATGATGAGAGCGACCAATAGAGTCGCCTTTCCACGGAACATTGTGGTGTATGAGAGATAAACAATAATTTCACACTAGACAACTACATGGGAATCAGAGTACATGTAAATTGGCGCTGAACACGAAGACAGGATGCAGAAGACAGGATGCAGAAACACCGCTGCGGCAGGAGATAGTGTGCTGTGGACACTCGCATCGTACAGTAAACTAGCTAGGTCGCTATTTTCGCTACATCGCAAGTCGAACTCAGCAGCCTAGTTTGCAGCAAATGGAGGATGATGACGGCGCTCACTGCTTTCACGCAGGACGACCGACAACGTGCAGCCAGTGGACTGGACAGTGGCTGCTAGGCCACAGCTCGACCATCTCCAGGGTATTTCTTTTCCAGAGCCGGTCACGCAGTTGCTGATGGCCGACTGATTCGTGGTGATCAGCAGGATACTCGTGTCATGTGTATCGGAAGGAAGTGACTAGGAAGAGCGGTCAACATGAAATTGCTCACGTTCCGTTCCGGTATCACTGGATCGTCTCCATCCCAGTCCAAGAACTGAAATGATCAGCACAACGTGGGGCTAGCTCAAACAACAAACAACAAGACCACGGTACAAGATAGATAACACAAGAAAAAGCAAGACAGACATGGAGTCATGGACAAGATTCTTTCAACAAGTTTTTTTATCTACGAAGATATTGACATTTCGTTTCGGACACTGACTATGTCCATATCCAATCAAACCTTCTGTTTTACTTACGTGTGGACAAAGATGAGGACTACTAATTACTACAGTCAACTTCGCTTATAACGACACTCGCCGGGGCATCCGAAAAGTGTCCTTATTCGCGAAGTGTCGTTATACCCGAAGTCTCATTATTATGTGTCACAGGATGGGACTTTGCTCTGGGCATGAAAATTATGTCGTTATTCGCGAATTGTCGTTATATCCGCAGTCTTTATTAGCGAAGTTGACTGTACTTACCATTATGCAACGAGTTACCACACATTAACACCAAAGATTATTATGCGCTGTATAGAATGTGCAAGTCTATCCCAACACCCACGATCCCTGTTCACATTTGGACGTCTATAACGAAAAAATATTGCTTCAGGAATACGGCCATTTACAAGGGACGACTGTGTGTCGAGAATTGATGCGTTGGTGATGGGTGTAGACGTGATTGCTTGTTGTGGGTGGTGTTCTGCAGAATGTTCTCCCCATGGTGTCTCCGGTGCTTGCGCTTTGGCCTCTCTGAGGTGCTCTTCGAATCTCTTCCTTGCAGTTATCCCGGTCTCGCCAACGTACACCTTGGCGCAAAGTGTACAGAACATTGAGTAGGAGAACATTGAGTAAATAACATCCTGAGACAAGCAGTGACATCTCCATACCGGAGCCACATGCACGGCATTCCTTAGGTTGCCGTCTTCCCCTCCTCTTCTTATATACTTCATTCCGGCATTCAGGACGGGAAAATGATGACGATATCAACATGTCCCTTAGCCAACGACCGAACTGGAACACCACACGCACATCCTCACTGAAAGACCTCCCGGTACGACGAACATCACGTGCCAAATGATCATTGCCAAAGGGCAGTTTGATGATGGATGTGTAACGTTACGATTGTTGTCGCTGTCTGGTGGGTAATGGGCTTGGTGTGCTTGCGTGGTGCTTGGCTGCTTGAATAGCATGTTGTGGATAGTCGTTGTCTCTAAGCCATGTCTCGACTTTCCTCTCTGCCCTCTATGTTTCCGTGGAAGCCTCGCTTGTACAGTATGGTCGATGATTGCCTGCTGTTAACTTATGGTGTCAAGGTCTTGTCAAGTTGATGGAGGTCGTGCTGTACTTGAGCAGCAGACACACCAGCATACGCTTCACGGTGGAACACACCCAGCAGAACGACTTGCACACAATCAGCTACCTAGACGTGTCTATCTCTGTGGGGAGGTTTTTTTTTACTTAGTCCACTATGCTCCCGAATGAATGCGGAAAGTGGTGTTGTGCAGTGGGAGTTATTCGTCAAGCCCAGTCATAGTGGTGTCCATCTGTACGAGTCTTCATTGCCATTGGGGTGAAGCGGCCTGTTGCCCAGGAACAGTTTCGGCGCGCAAACAGCAAGGCATCAATCGACATGGGGAGAGGAGGGGAGAGGGGAAAATCGGACAAATCGAGACATTGCTGAGAGACAACGACTATCCCCAACATGCTATTCAAGCAGCCAAGCACCATGCAAACACACCA